AGGGGGCGGGATCCCTAAGCAACCAATCACAATTCAGTTCCCGTAAGTAGCAATAGGTAAAAGGCGAATTCTGGTTACATTGTAACAATCACCAACTCGGGGAAGTTTTGTTTTTTTTACCAATCAATTAAAAAAAAAAAACAATAATATTGAAGGAGATCAAGTTGTAGTAGTCACCTTCAAACCAAAGTACACTCCGTGCCACTAGGTGGAGCTGGGGAGCACAAGGGATAAAATGGGGTACAGAAACTGCACAGTACTGTTGGTACCAAAAACATGTTGGTTATCGAACTAAAACCCCAAAAACAAAAATGTCATCTATAGTAGCTTAGCCGTCTTTAGTGTTGGCTGCAAATACAACACTTCCTGTCCCTGGGCGGCTACACTCACTTCTCCACTGTATTTATGGAGGGAGTCTTTTATTTATAAAGAAAGGTAAAAATGAATAGTCAAATTATGAAATAGAAACAAATAAAGATGATCAATGAGTAGAATAAAAACAATACGTTACGTAGCAAGTCCTCTGGTTCTATATCCGGGTTGGGCTCAGAGAGAGAACAATATGGCTGAGCTCTTGCTTTTATAATGCACATGATCCATTCATACACGTACATAGACACCCCTTTACCCTGAAGCCCTCATGCCCCTTTTGAGTCTTTCAGCCAATCAGCATCTTCTGTAGGGTTCGTCAGGGCTCGCAGAAGTCCTTCAGCAGGTGGCGCTGTTGTACTGCAGCAATTCTTTGGTCTTGGTGAACATTTGATCCGTAGGTGAGGGACAGCCATCCAGATGCTATCTTCCAGCACTGCGGGATATCTTGTGGGTGTTTCCAATGTTCATATTACCCCCCCCCCCATCTCCCCAGGGGTTATATGTGCCCCCTAAGGGTTACAAAACTCCCCAGGGTGCTATGTGTGATGGGGTTTCTCTTTATAACTTGCCATACCTCCTGTGGCTTCCAGCACTGATATCTGGCTTCTTTGATGCCCCAAGTAGTAGGGCAGATTTCATATATGAAAAAATGTTGCACGGTCCCTTGCTGAGTCACAGCTAGAGCTCTCCAATCAGCAGGGAGTATGAGCATTGCTGATTGGAGAGCTGTAGGTCTGACTCAGCAGGGAGGTGTGCTGGATCTCTGCAGAGAGGCCACTGCTTCCACACAGAGAGCAAGGGTCCTTCTCTGCAGCGTGCTGGCAGGGAGCAGGCTTTTTTATTTATTTCTGCAGCAGACACCAAGAAACCTGCGTACCTTTAAATCCAGTATTTTGGTATGATGGGTTTTAACATTAAAGGAGAAGTATGGGGGTCAGTGCTTTTCCCCATAGTTCTCCTTAGGGTAACGGAAGGACATAAACTAGCGTCCTCCCGTCACCCTAGGCTCAGTATATAGGGAGCTACAGCTCGCGGTATGCTGAGACGCCGCAGCCGGAGCGGATCCCGACATCGATGTCTGGATCCACCCAGCTGTGTGAGTGACATCTAGAGGCAGAGCCAGCTGTACCAACCCCCTCCCCCGTCCGTTCCGCCAGTCAGCGCTGGCGGGTCGGAGCAGGGAGAGGGGAATCCAGGCCCTCCCCTGTCACGGCAGAGAGCGTGACAGGATCGAGAGGTGAGCGAACGCCGGTATGTGTTCACGCACTTCCCGATCTACTGAGCCGACCTGTGACAGTCTCATTGTCACAGGTCGGCTAGAACTATGAGGGGAGTGAAAACCCCTGACCCCGTAGTTCTCCTTTAAGGGGGTTATTCACTTAGCTGCTGAAGGCAGCCTAGTGAATAACCCAGCCGAAGTGAAGTGAGCCGACCGCTGTTAGGCTATTCACTTCAGCCTTGTACGGCTGATTTCAGCCGTACATCGGCTAAAATCAGACGTAGATCGGCTGCCTTCGTTCAGCCAAACATGCTCTGCAAGTTCGGCTGAGCCAAAAAGCAGAAGGAGTTAGACTCAGCCGATCCAACATCTGGATCGGCTGAGCCAAAGTTCCGGCAGCTCACTTGCTGCGGTTCGCCCCCTTTCTCATATGGGCCGAATAGCAGTAAGTGAGTAGCCGAATGCCGCCGAGTGGCATTCGGTTTTCCTGCTCGGTACTTTCCGAGGTAGCGAGCAGAATAGAAAAAAAAGTTAAATGAATGAAAAAAAAATGTTGAAAAATTATTTTAAAAATGTAAACATAATATATTTTAAAGAAACATAAAATAAAAAAAAAACGCACGCCGACCTGACCACACTTTGACGAACTAACGCCACAAAATGAAGCAGCTGACAGATGCCGGCAACAAAAAAAAACCTAGTGGTGACATCACTGCTAGCTCGGCCCAACTTTTTCCTATTGGCCGCCACTTGACACAGTCTTCTAGCAGGTCCCGGGCAATAAATAACAACTGGGGGAAGTCGCCGGCTCCGCCCAGTTGTTATTTTTTATTGACAGATCAGCGTCCCCAGGTCATTTAGGGACGCTGATCTGTCATTACAACTGGGCGGAGCAAGCCGTGAGATCATGGCTCGCTCCGCCCAGCTGTCATTTGCGTGGAGATCGGTCGGCTTTGGCCGACCTTTCTCCACGCTTCACCTGTCACTACGGCTCAGCTGAGCCAAAGCATATGCGTTCGGCTCGACTTCTTTTGGCTGCTGTACGGGCTATTGTGAATTGCCCTTACTGCAGCCCTTCGGTTCAGCCCTTCGGCGTCCGAAGCGAGCCGAAGGATCAGCCAAAGCTACGGAATAACCCTCCAAATAGTATCAGGAAAAGGCATAATAAAAGCGCAGTTTGAGGTGGATCCTTAAAGCTGAACTCCGGGCACAAACCGTTTATTTACCTTTGCGGTGGGGCTACCCTCCCTCCCGCATTGCAAGGGTTAACTGCTTGTATGTGTCTAGGGAGGAAAATAGCAAAGATATACTTACCCGATCCTCGGAGCCAGCAATGGTAGGTCCCTCGCCGTCCTCATGTCCTATATGCTGTGAATAGAACGTGATGACCTGAGGCTGAGGCTCCTTAGACCACTGCAGGGGATTTCACACTGCACAGATCTGGAAGGCATACACAAAGCTGACCGAGATTCCAGGAAGAGTACACAGGACTCTTGTATGAGGACAATGTTTTCTTATCTCGGAGTTCAGTCTTAAAGGGTTGACAGAGAAAGGCTTTTTTCTATTTGCTGCAGTGATAAAGTCCACGTAAGACGCGACATCTCAGGATATTAACTGGTCAATATATCGAGAAGAGCGATGCAAAAAAACCCATTTGGTTAAAAGTTCTTTAGAAAATAATGGCCTGTGAAACATAAAAGCTCTTTAGGATGTCAATGGATTACAGTTCAGCTTAGTCCAAAGAGTTTACTTGGAGAGGTAACTAAAAGTTCACCTTAAAGTAGATGTACTAAAATGTCATACAAGAGGAACCAAACTCTGGAAAATGTGCCCAAAAAGAGACAGGCAGAGGGCAAAGGACTAACCACCAGTATTTGCTGTGGTCTCCCCCCAGCTGGTCCTCATTGACGGCTTACTATGCCTTGTTTTGCTCTGTGTCTCCATATGGAGGCAGCCATTGTGGTAGAGGCAGAGCTTTGCTTCCTTATGCCAGGGCCTCCAGTAAGGCCTGCTTATGGACCAGCCTCCAGTAAGGTCTGGCCTATAGCAAATTCAATGATTTTGGTTTCTTAAGGACGAAGGTTGAAGTGGTATCTCGGCAGCCATTTCCTCGAGAAGGTCCCTGTGTTCAACTTCTCCCTCAGTCAGGAAGTCATCACTCCTCTGAGGGGAACAGCCGCAGGTGCCTCCTCAAGGCCAAAGTTCTTCTTAAGCTTTAGTAGGCCATCATCTTGTAGAACTTTTTATCCTTTAGTGAGCCATCATCTTGTAGAACTTTTTACCCTTTAGTGGGCCACCATCTTGTAGAACATTTTATCCTTTAGTGGGCCACCATCTTGTAGAACTTTTTATCCTTTAGTAGGCCATCATCTTGTACCAATCTCCTAGTACGGGAGACTTCTTCAACACCCAACCTAATTGGGCCAAAGCCCAGGAGACGCAGAACTCAGCATGCTATCCCTATGGGCAGGAGCCCAAGAAACATTCTGGAAGGTAGTCCCATGTATTCGTCAACTCCCAGGCTGATACTACAAAGAAAATCTTGCAGATGATTGACTCGGCTGATAAATATTCAAAACCTGGAAGTTAACCTCTTGAGAAGAGATTGCTGGAGCATGTCCAACAGCAGTTAGCAAAGCCCAGAAGACACAGAACTCAACACACCATCCCTATGGGCAGGAGCCCAAGAAACGTTCTGGAAGGTTGTCCCAAGTATCCATCAACCCC